CGATTAGAGATCTCCAGCGTCATGTAGAGGACCTGGATAATCGCTGTCGGCGCAACAATCTCCGTTTAAGAGGCCTTCCTGAGGCGACTGGACCAGAAGATCTTCCACATGTACTTCAAACCATATTTACTAATATCCTAGGGTGGCCTTCCTCCCGACAGGTGGAATTGGATCAAGCTCATAGAGCACTCAGGCCTAGAGGAGCATCTTCGCTCCCACGTGACGTTATCTGCAGGGTGACGGACCTTGTGCCTTCGAATTATTGGTTTAATTTTTCGGTAACTGACACGTTTTGACATTTCCCTTGGGGTTTTTTTTAACCTCCCCAGTTGTAGTTTGAGACAAACTATCTTCGATCTTTTTGCCACGCCTTTGGAAGCTATTCTTTAATAGCTGTCTTCGAAGACCCAAAACCCCTTAGCGCATAGCTATTCCATTTACACCTGACAGTGTACTAAATACGTTATATGTTACGTGTTTTGAGATGTTTATTGTTAATATTGTTTTTTGCTTGTTTCAGCTTTTGCTCAAGCTCTTTCTTCTTCTTCCTTACCATTCTTCTCTTGTCTTTGTCTCTGCCGGGGGTCCTCTGAATTGTCTCCAATACTCGAAAATGGTTGTATCCCTGGTCCTGGTAAGTATAAACTTATGCAATAGGAATACGTACTCCACTGAGAATGCATTATTAATAATCCCCGCCCTACTCTACTGTAGTCAGAAGATGGCGCAAACTTCTGACTACAAAATAATATCCCTAAATGTGAAAGGGCTTAATTCTCAGACCAAACACAATTTAGCTTACCGTCAATTCAAATCCTCGGGGGCGGATATCCTCTTCCTGCAAGAGACCCATTTTAAGCCGGGGAGTTCCTTTGGTTTTTTATCTAGGCTATTCCCTCGTTCGTATGCAGCTTCTATTTCATCCAAACGAGCGGGGGTGGCTATTCTACTTAGAGAATCTTGCCACTTCAAACCCACCAGGACTTTGATGGACAGAAAGGGTAGATACGTCATTTTAAGTGGAACATGGAACGAGATTCCTTTTACACTTTGTAATGTTTATGCCCCGAATAGTGGACAACACTCTTTTCTTAAACTTTTGCTGTCAAAAATTGCCCGTCTTCAACATACGTACTTGATCATAGGAGGTGATTTCAATCTCTCCTATTCGTCCACACAAGACTATTTGGCGGCCCCTTTTGAAATCTACCCCGAAACATTCAATAGAAAATTCTAAATTATTCCGTAAACTAATTAGAGGCTATTCCCTATACGATTCTTGGCGTGTAGTTCATCCCATTGAGGCACAATATACCTTTTTCTCCCACCCTCATGGCTCTCACACTAGGCTAGACTATTTTTTTGTGAATACACCAATCTTACGCAACATGACTTCAGCGGAGATAGGGCCCATCTCGTGGTCAGACCACGCCCCTATAGAGTTGAGTTTCCGTCTGGACCCTACCCGTATTAAACAATGTCATTGGACTTTAAATGATAGCCTTCTGAAGGACGACTCCACTAAACTTAACATAGAATCGGCAATTCAGAGCTACTTTGATCTCAATGAGGGTTCAGTTTCGGCTCTCTCCACTCTGTGGGAGGCACACAAACCCACGATTCGTGGCCACTGTATTGCACTGGCTTCGAAAGTTAAGAAGGATCGTGGAATGCACGTTAAAAGATTGCAGCAGGAACTTAAGGAATTAGAGCATCGTATGACTCCAAAGCCAACTAAGGCGTTGCTACGACAAATTCTTCTAACTCGGGCTCAACTGAAACACCATGCACTCCATAAAACGGAAATCTCCCTGCTCTATTTAAAGCAGAAATATTATGAAAGGGGAAATAAAGCTCATTCTATTATGGCCCGTCAATTACGAATGGAGGCGAAAGAAAAACAGATTTTCTCAGTGAGAGACTCCGATAATATCCTCCAACAGCATCCCCAAAAAATAGCAGAGGTCTTTAGGGAATATTACATATCGTTGTATAACCTGAAAGATCCTGCTTTTGACGCTGTGGAGGAGACACTACCATCAAGTTAAAAGGAGCTACTTCAAAAGCCTTTCCCATAGGAAATGGCTCTAGACAGGGATGCCCACTTTCCCCACTTCTGTTCGTCTTATGCATAGAAGCACTAGCGGCCAGAATCCGTGCATCATCCCACATTCATGGTATCACACTGAAGTCCCGAGAGTTTAAACTGGCTTTATTTGCAGACGATATATTACTTACCATCACCAAACCCACACAATCGCTACCTCATCTACATAACGAACTCAGTTTATACTCGGATCTCTCAGGCTATAAATTGAACGTTAGTAAGACGGAAGCCCTACCGCTCAATTTATCCCCTCATACTATATCACTCCTACAGTCTTCCTTTTTTTACAATTGGAAAACAGTAAGTTTGAAATACCTAGGCATTCGACTTACCCCTAGGTCCTCACAGCTGTATCATACAAACTACAAACCCCTCTTTCAAGAACTTAAACGCCTTCTCCATAGATGGCGAACGCTACGTCTCTCTCTAACCGGTAACATAGCTGCGGTCAAAATTACGCTTTTGCCTAAATTACTTTATTATTTTTCTACTCTACCAATTCGCATCCCGACGAAAGATCTTCGATTCCTTCAGAAAGAGGTCCTGGACTTCGTGTGGGGGGGTGGCAGACACAGGATCTCTCAATCTATTCTTTACAGACCAAAACAGGAGGGGGGGTTATCATTACCGAACCTCTTATATTACTATGCAGCGGCCCAACTACGAGCAGTTCCCTACTGGAGTTTGGAGAAAACTCATAATATATGGACTGAGATTGAGGCCCTGTGGCTCTCGCCTACACACCCGAATTCCCTACTCTGGTCCTCTCCATCTATCATTCCATCCTCTGCACTCTTGACTTCTATGCAGTGTACTAGGGAAGTGTGGTATGAATATAGGTATACGCATACATTAGCTTCCACACGATCCTCCCTTGCCTCATTTCTATATAGTCCATCCCTACCGTCGGGGCTTTCTAAAACTTGGTCAACCATATAATCAGAGAGACAGTTATTCCAATTTAAAGACGTTATAGATAGCACCACTAGGATCTTAAAACCATATCCGCAATTACAGGAAGAACATTCTCTCCCCTCTAAGGCCCTTTTCCAATACTTACAGATTAAACACTTAGCCCAAACCATCACTAAAACCTTCACTTTTGACAAGCCTACCCCATTTGAAAAAATCTGTACAACACTATCTTCCTCAAGAGGGTTGATATCAACGCTCTATAACTTCCTAAATAATCCGCACCAGAATTTTCATAAACTTCCATATATGATCAAGTGGGAAGCGGCATTAGACGTTGATCTTGCCCCAGACCAGTGGAGTATGATCTGGCGCACAGCGTCGAAATCCTCTGTGTGCTCGTTGTATAAGGAAACACAATACAAGATCCTGTATCGGTGGTATCAAACGCCGGAATTTTTACACTCTATTTATCCTAATGTGTCACCCTTATGCTGGCGATGTACCTCCGCTACAGGATCTCTATTTCATATATTCTGGACATGTCCCTCTATTCAACTCTATTGGAAGATGGTTAGTACTAAATTAAATAAGACATTCAATCAATCATTCCCCTTCTCTCCGCTACATTTTCTCATTGGCCTTCCTTTTCAAAATTTAAATAAATATGACAAGAAATTAACAGTACACTGGTTAACGGCGGCGAGATGTCTTATACCTTTATTTTGGAAACGTCGTAATCCCCCTACAGAGATGGATTATATGGATAGGGTGAGAGATGTCCAGAGAATGGAATACTTAACGGCAAGATTAAATGATACCATTTCTCTCTACCATAGGGTGTGGGAGACATGGGAGGAGCAGGAGCCGTTACCGAGTATTGGATTGAATTAATGGATTGGGACTTATTAGTCTTAATATGTGTCTTTTCGGAAATACCCCGGAGCAGAGATATCTTTTTTCTAATCTTTTTCTATCTCTTCTTTACACACCTATGTAAATGGAAACAATTTTTCTTTATAAAAAATGAAAAATATTGTGGAAGAAGCTACCGTTCTATAGAAGGACAACATGAAGAATAGCTAATGAATATAGTAACAACGCTTCATTATTGATAATGGAGGATGTTCTCTCTTCCGAATCAATAGCGATATAGAATGTGGCTTCTCGAACGCAATCTAACGTTCCAGCACATACTTATTGTGTTCTTTCTGTGACTTATGTGTATTTTCTTAATTCTACGCATTACTGTGTATTATGTATCTTTTAAAAAAAATGTAAAATAAAAAAATGTTCAATCAAAAAAAAAATAAAAGATAGCAGACATTCTGAGATTGGTCCATACCAAAATTATATTTTACTCCTTGTATTTTATGACCTAGATCCTAGACATATGATATACCCTTTAAATCAGGACAAATCAAATAATTTATTATGAATGACTTTCTGTTAACTACACTAAGTATGTTCACATTATTGAACAATGTGCTTTTTAAAAAAAAATATTTGTACTTTTTATTAAAAAAAATTATATATGCATATGTCATATCAAATTAAAGCCCATTTTGTCCTTTAAAAAATGGTATATAATATGTATAGGTGTAATGCATTAGGAAGATGGAAATTATGGTTAAACAAACACATAGCAAAAATGGCAAAATTGCTCAGGTCAAAACATTGTCTGAATCTGTGTCACTAATGGGTTAATATCTGCTGCATCCATTCTCTCTGGTCCTGAATTATTACTTATTTACTAAAGGTTCTTTACATATATTTCCTTTTCCTATTTGAGATCATTGTAGACTATGCATATACTGAGCTGGAATCCTTGATATGTTTGACCTAAATATAAATCACTATTCA